CCTACATTATCATTTCCATGTAAGGATTTCAAACACAAGGTCTTCTGGTCACTGTGACCTTGATAGAAATGTCCAAAAACATTAACAGTATTATTTCACTCGTTTCGTAATCAAAACGATCTTAAATGTCATGACGCGTTATCAATACAATCCAATATCTTGAGCAATCTCTCCTTTCATTCATTCATTCATTCTTTCTTTCTTTCTTCAGAATATAACTACAAGTCTCTATGTATCATCTATCTTTATATCTATTGTTTCTATAACTTTAGTCGTAACACTCAGTGTAAGATTGACTGAAAAATAATAATAGAAATCTTTACTTATAGCTCTACACACATTTATTGAATGTGTTTCTCCAATTGTCCTTTAGAACATAACATAATTAACCCATTACATGTATATGCCTTTATTCTTAAAACATGCTCTTTAAACCAACTTTTAGACTAAAATATCAGACATAATAGTCTCGATAAAAGATTATAAGAGCTCTGTTACAAAACAAGAAAGAAAACTGAGTATTTAACTATAACAACACATAGAGCAGCTAGTTGACCTGGACAAAGCTATCTTGACAACCAGATATATGTTCTCAGTAAAAACCATTTCATTCATACCAACCCATATCTGAAAAACACAACAAAATTTTACTGCTCATCCTAAATGTTTAATAGCCAGCTTGACTTTTCGCCTTGAAAACCTTTCCTGCTCTGTGGTGTACAACGAGGGAAATTTTGCCGGGATTGCATACTAAATACTTTCCAATCCAGCTCTTTAGGGATCCTTAAGGTGTACAACCTATAGCAAACAGGGTCTAAGTTTATTGCCCAATGAAAAGAATTAACTATTTTTCCATGTTAGCCCATCTACCCTGCATCATTGACAAAGAGAAGCCAAAACAAGAGTAACTATCTTGTCTTGCTTGCTTTGAATGCTAAGAGGTAAATCTAATATTAGATTGTATACATAAACTCTGCTAAACTAAACTGTACAAGTAATCATTGCAAAGGTTTAAGTTATGACCCCATTGCTGCAAAAGGCGAAAGGTTCGAGGACAGGCTGTAGCACAACTGTTTAGAGCATCAGAATCTTTACATTTGTTTGGTAGTCAAGTAGATGTTGGTCAAATGTTATAATCTGAAGGACCTGCTGATCCATTTGTTATACTTTTAAAAATTGCTGTTTCTTCATTTCTTTAGAGTGACTTACTTCTGTTTTATATGCCCGAAGAGATTGTTCCAAATTTCTTGCCCTACACACCAATCAATCCATCTCGGCAGGACAGGGACGATGAGCTCCCTGCAGGATTACTCCCTGCCTACCCTTAAACTGTTATCTATATCACCCTTAACTGCAATAAAAAAAATCAGGGAATAAGGTTTCCATAGATTAACATAGGTACTTTGAATTTTTCTTATTTGCAAATTTTGTACAGTTCTAGTACTTCTGAACTTACATATTCGATGTCGAATCTCAAACTCAAAAAAGTGACTGTGCGCAATGAAATTAATTTCAGGTCGGTCAATCAAAAGTTAATCAACGCCTGTAAAGATTCCAATCTACATTAGGCTAGCGTTCTGTAAAATTTAGTTATTTAAAAAAAATCTCCCGATATTTTAAGATTCAAACTTATTTTCTTCACCTTTTTAGACCATAATAACAACATTATCTGAAACCATACTCCAACACCATAATCTAAACCCATACACCGACACCATTATCCGATACCATACAGCAACACCATTATCTGACACCATACTCTAACACCATTATCTGACACCATACTCTAACACCATTATCTGACACCATACACCAACACCATAATCCGATATCTTCTTATCTCAATAAACCAAAAAGTAATCTAATAATAATTAAAATACCATATATATTAAAGGGTCAGTATGCAAGATTTCTAAAATATTTTACAAAAACTCATAAACCATATTTCTTTACATTTGTCTGTTTTTTGGATTTTACACTGTTGAGTTCTCAGACTGTATCACATGTGGCATAGGTATTTTGTCCCATCTGAACATCCCCTGACACAATAAATACCCATATCTGATTTAGAAAATCATAAAAAAGAAAAAGCTAAAAAGAAAAATTAATACTTAACCTCAAGATCAAGTTCCAGAAAGAATTCCTACATGCCAATCCCACATATCCACAAGCCAACAGAGAATTTTTTATTTCTGGACTATAAAAATACCAATTTCTGAAATAGAACAGCATCATTACACTCCCCCTTCCCCAATTGAAATTGAAACTAACTTAACTTCTAAATCTACCGGTTCATGATCCAAAAAAACCAAAACCAACACAACTTAACAAAAGTCATGGACAAAAAAGCAAACATCCGAACAAACTAATGCAGGACGCCAAGAAAATATGACAGAAAGTCAAGCCAAAACAAAAAACCCAAAAAACCAAAAATGAAAACCATCACTCTTCCACCGTTATCTGAAAAACAAAAAAAAATATCAAAAAATTACCTTAAAAATATTGAAAAAGTGCCATGGCTTTATCAGCTGGCAGGAAGCCGCCTGGCTCAGTGAGTTTGATGCTTGGTTGCTTCACTTTCAGATAAGGTTGAGGCAATACCTTTGAAGTTTCTATGATGTCAAGTCAGAGGCGTCGGTATGTAAAAGGGTCTAGATACAATAAACTAAGGCCCTGTGTGCTAAAGGCTTGTCACATCCTTGACTGGTGGAAATTGAAATCCTCATATCCTGCAAAATTTCCCTCATTGAACACAATTGCAAGTATGACATCATTTCATATCTGCTGGTAAAATGAAAATATTAAGATGACTTTACCTGCGGTTTCTTTATCTGCATGCATGCTTCTTCTCATCTGATAACCTTCCCTTCATCCATACCACCATAACCTGAAAGGAAAACATTGACCTCAACGACCAAATTTGACCCCTGAACTCGAACACTAACTTTGACCCTTGAACTCAAATATCAACTTTGACCCTTGAACTCAAATATCAACTTTGACCCTTGACCTCAACCACCATCTTTGACCTTTGACCTCAACAACTATCATTGACTTTTGACCCCAACCACCATCTTTGACATTTGACCTCATATACTCAATTTGACCTTAACTGCCAACTTTGACCTGAACTTTCAAAGCTGTAAATTGCAAAATACCCCAAATCAAAAAACAGGAATACAAACAATAAAGCTGAAATCCAAACCGAAAAAGAAATGAAAGCCATTAAGCAGCCATCCAAATAATTGTTGATGGTCTTTGTATCATGGCAATTCTTATTTATTGGTAGTTGAAAGGTAATCTTGGTATGATTGACTGGTATCTAGTAAAAGGTGCAGAAACACCGAATGAAAGCAGAAATACGTGGCCCGTTTCTCAAAAAATCTTTCAATAGAAATTTGTCATAAGTGTGGAATTTTACACTGAGAAATACCATACTTAGACAAATATTGATTGTGAGATTTTTTTGAGAAACATGGCCAGATCTCAGTTGCAGAAAGGTTAGTCAGCCTACTGATAGATAGAAAGAAAGATTTTTACAAGGACAGCTTAGATTCAAAAGATCCTGTCTAACAGCTGTTCCTTGACCAAAATTCTTGGCAATGATTTTACTCAGATTATCCATACCCATTTACAGCTGAGTCGAATAGAATACTGAGGAAAGATGACTTATTCTAGGGCAAGGAGAAAGTTAATTCTAAAGGCACTAGTAAAATCCAGTCGCTGGAAGCAGAACTTATATAATGCAGAAACATCAAATCAATGCAGAAACATCAAATCAATGCAGAAACACCTAATCAATGCAGAAACATCAAATCAATGCAGAAACACCTAATCAATGCAGAAACACCAAATGCAGAAACACCATCTTCTTGTGAGCTCTTCAGCTGAAATAAGAAAGGAATTATGTAAATAAGCCATAGCTCAAATATTCATCTAGTCAACGCAACTATTTATTTTGAACTTGCTTTTTTAAAGAAATACCACTTCTTAGAATAAACAGCAGATAAATGCATTGGTAATTATTACTCTATGTAATTATTGAACAACATACATAGATTTTCCTATGGTATCTTGCTAATTTCACTTTTTTGGATCCCAACTTTGAAGCGTCAACATCTGAACGAAAACCAAAATTTCTTGGCACTTTTTCGCAATTTTCAAAAGAGCATGGAAGCCACTTTCATGCACTTTGGTGGGACTTACAAAGAAGCATCGAATTAGAAAAACCGGCATCTATATTCAAGGCCTAAACTTTCACCCCACTGATGAATACATACACTTATAGGCCAAATTTGAGAATCTAAATTCTATGTTCATTCTAAAAGGTAGTATTCCTTTGAAACTATGTGATTACTGATATGCATATGCGGGCACAGCCTTGAATGGTAGAAGAACTAAATGCAAGATTTCATTTTGGAAAATGCCAGTCAATCATATAACCATACTTCAGTTGTAGAAGAACCAAGTCAGATTTTCACCAAACACAAGGCAATATTATGGAATTAGCACACTTCTTAGATAAACTAATTAAACACATAATGTTTCAACTTTCAGCACAATTTACATGTGCCATCATCAGATGAAATAATGATGGAATAAAACATAACAAAATGTATAATTGGTAACCATTTAAGTCATTTATTTCCTAAATTGTAACTCACTTTGGATAAAAAGCTTATGCTCTCTTATTTAGACTTCTCATTATTAATTTTATTACCCTTTACACTGGTAATCTCTTTATTATTCTTACTTGTAATATGTTTTGTTAGGATTTTTATTCTGATGAAAATACATTGTTTGAAACCTTATCTGTTTAATTAGTTTATTAAAGAAATATGTTAAATCCATAATAATGCCTTGTTTCTGTTATATGTACGCCTCATTTCTAAATGTCATTCAAGTCTTATGTCCGATTTCATTTTAAAAATTAAGATGACAATGTTCACTAAATCCCTTGTAACATACCCATGGCTTTTCATATGTAGACTTGGTTCTTCTTATTGAGTACTCTTTGATCTGTTGATCATTTCTTCAGCATTCTTCACTTGTTCTTCATACTTCTTTCTGTTCTTCGTCTGTTCTGTAGGCGCCGCTTCATCTGTTCTTCTTCTGTTCCCCTTCATCTGTTCCTCTTCATCTGTGAATAGGAGGTCTGAAAAGTCATACAGGCCATGACCTCAGAACACTCCTATTGTGGCAGTGCTATTGCGGGTAGGTAAATTACCAGACGATTTACCCTTTCAAACCTGAAAAATATAAATACATAATTGCAAATAATTAGATGACTACCATTTTATGTAATTTTTTACAACAATGTGAGAGTGGCCACGAAATACCCTTAAATTATAGACCACAATTTGGCATCATCATTCTTTAGGGTCTTGATTGGCTGTTTACTCATATAAATACCATGTAATTGTTTATATTAAAATAACATGATTCACAAAACTGTATCAGACAAGCAAAGTGTTGCAAGATATTTCAAAGTAAGAATATCAAAATGGTTTGAAATTACAGATCAAATATTCTTAAACAAACTTGCCTTGCGAGCTTCTGTGCCACACCATAAGCACTTGACTTCTGTATAATGAAACTCTAACTGTTTACACCTAAAATTAAAAATATAGAACTTAATTCTTTGATATGGCACAAATGAAATTATTCAACAAATACATAAATGCAAACAGTTGATGGATTCTATGGAACAGTCTTTTACTCAGTAACAAGCGTGTAAAAGTGTCGGGAACTTTACAGGAGGCTTGTTTAGTTATGTCCCAACAATGGTGGTCATTAGATCAATTTCAATAGATCTGGCCGAAGACCAGCTAGAAGACACATATGAAAATTTTGTTTTGTGTTGTAAGGTTTTCTAAATGTAATATTTACAATGTGTTTATAATGACTTGTATGGCAACATCATATCCGAGATAGCTATTAAAATATCCGTACCTGGCTTCGTTCCAAGAGCCGCTTTTAGGACATTTGTGCTCCACCATAACCTTATTGACCTCCAAGTGTAATGTCCTGTTGAAGCTAAAGACCAGCTCCTTTGTTCTTGGAACCCTAAAAGTAAAGATTCTTATTTTAAAAGTAGGTTTGGAAAGTTATGTGCAAACAGTAATAAATACTTCAGACCAAAGACTAGAAAAATAAGTCCATTGCCTTATCTGGAGGTTTCAGAAAAAAATCACTCTTGAATTGATTAGTTTTAAGCTTTTGAGTCCAAGACTAAATGTCTTTTTGAATTAAAGCTTTTTACTGTGGTATCTGTCATTAGCCAGGCAAGTCATGCTTTTCCCACTTGTAAAACCCTTTTGCCAATGGAATTATCAAATATTCACCCATTTCAGAGAGAAAGATACCAGGGTAGTTTTTGCTTTTTCATTCCACAACAGGGGACTTGTATATGAAATGGATTTTTAGAGAGCAATCAGATGACTGGAACACCAAAATCATCGTAAGTTAAGTTTTCAAGATTAATGCTCCAGTACACCTTCAAGGGATACAGAAAATGAGCAAGAATTTTTCAATGTGGGTTTCACATAATTTCACAGAACAGTAATAGTGATTGAAATTGAAATATGTAGGTAGGTACTGACCGTGCTATGTTGATCATCTAACTGTACGTGGTGTATGTCAAACCCAATAGTAAAGACCACTATCGAGTTCCCGCTGACGGCTGCAAAAAAAGACAAACATTGTATGGAGTCAAAATACCATATAATTTAGTATCTGAGGACATATTCTATTTATTTCCTGTTTATTAGGCATGGTTATTGAGCCATGAAACACGGAATCCACTTAAATTTTGCAAATTGATATATATTTCTGAAAATTCACACAGCTAATAATATCATGGTAATATAATTTCAAAACATCAAGATCTATGATAAACTTACAAAAAATGGGTGGAGGAATCGCCCAATCTGTTCCTCTTCATCTGTTCCTCTTCATCTGTGAATAGGAGGTCTGGAGAGTCATACAGGCCATGACACCAGAACACTCCTATCGCGGCAGTGCTATTGCGGGCAGGTAAATTACCACACGATTTACCCTTTCTAACCTAAAATCAGACACAAAATATACTTAATTTTTTCTTTAAAGTCAAGCACATATAAATGTTGTCAATCTTCTTAAATAAAAAAATTTCATTGAATGGAAATATTCATTCAAAGTTGTTCACTGGTCAAACAGCTTATTTGGTTTGGCTGAATTCTCAAGACCTTGGCCACTCTAACCCTTCTTTAATCTTGTACTGATAAGTAAATGGTACCAAGTGACATTTCAGAAATCCAAGTGATATTTAAAAGTGACACAGGTTTGAATTTTGGAAGCAGAAGCAGGTGTGGCATCATAAGTTTATAAACCTTAAAGAAAATTTGAGCTCACAGCCACCTTATAGCAGTTTACACAGTTCCCAAGTTGTTACCCCCTTCAAGCATAAATTTATTTTAGACAGGCAAAAGATCGAGGAGTCTAAATTATCAGGGATAAGGAAAGCATTTTGCATTTAAGTACACTTGCCTTGCGAACTTCTGTGCCACACCATAAGCACTTTAATTCCATGTAGTGAAGTTCTATCTGTTTACACCTAAAATTATAAATATTTCAAACATATGAATACCAAGTCTATAAAAATTTGGTAAATTTTTTCGTTTGGATTAAGGACAATTCAAAAGCAGTTCATACAACAGCAGATTTACCAACAATTATGTTTATTGGGGAACAACAAAAGTCTGATTGAAAATTGGAATTGTGCAAATTGATGCTATCAGTGTCCCCGATACCTATGAACAATCTTTACAATCCCTTTAAACATTCCAAGTTTTAAATAATTCAATTCAAAATTTGATACCTTTGGTTGCATATGAAAGCCACTTTTTTAGCTTGGAAATTAAAATAGTGCAAATAAATGCACAAAATAAAATCTTTTTCATATTCCTTTCTTACTTTGAAAAATACAGTATAAACAATTTGACTTGTATTGCTATATCATACCATATGAAATATTTCAAATATCCTTACCTAGCTTTGTTCCAAGAGTCGCCTTTGGGACATTTGTGCTCCACCATAATCTAATTGACCTCACAGTTTAAATGTCCTGTTGTAGCTAAAGACCAGCTACTTTGTTCTTGGAACCCTGGAAGAGAAACAACATTTTAATTATGGTGATTTTTTTTTGTATATATGTAAATAGTCTTCAGAAGTGATAAAAATGTATGCTAATTCCTTCAAAAATACCTCAAACTGGGCATTTCTTTTTCTATAAAGCGGTATGTCTTTTCTGTAAATGGCAGTCATCTTTCTAACACAGATTATTCTGGACGTACACAGATTTCAATAGTCAGCTCATTTTCGAACTGTTAAGGGTTTTTTTAACATTCACTGTCTGTAGCACACAGGGCCTTGGTTTATTGACACGTCCGAACAACTAGAAACTTTTTCCGTATCCGCCCCACCCACCTGTATCATTAACAAAGGGAAATCAGGTTTTACAGTATAAAGCTTAATTAATAGGTACTGCAACTCATCAAAGATTTCTTGGCAAGATAATATATGCCCACTGGCAGCTTTATTTTCAAATTAAAATATTTGGAAGAATAGTAACAATCACCAGTGTCAAATATTCAACCATTCGTCATACATAACTTTTTTGTCTTTCAAATATTGATAATTTGGTATAAATCTGTTTTAAGTACTTACAAGCTACAATTGAACACTTCAAACACAAGGGCAATAACTCATATTTTTTATCTTCAATAGTGTCCATCAATCAAAGATAATAAACACACCAAGTTTTGTCAAAATCCATCAAGAATCTTGCCTTCTGAAGTTTTCACAGACTGATAGACATTTGTGACGCCAAAGTGGAATTTATAAAACTTTGTATACTGACCGTGCTACGTTGATCATCTAACTGTGTGTGGTGTATGTCAAACCCAATAGTAAAGACAGCTATTGAGTTCCCGCAGACCTGACGGCTGAAAATAAACAGTTTAATTCAATTAAAGCAGGTGTCAATAGATAGCCTGGATATATCAAGTTTTTATGAGTCCGACACCATTGAACCTTTTAAGCCAGTTGCCATAAGTCTAGATTTATCAAGTGCTTAAGAAGAGTTTGATATCATTGAACCTTTGATGCAGTAGCCAGTGGCAACCAATCTGGATTAATCAAGTGATTAAGAGTCTGACATCATTGAACCTTTGATGCAGTAGCCAGTGGCAATTAATTTTGTTTTTATCAAGGGATCAAGAGTCCGACATCATTTAACATTTGATTCAGTAGCCTGTTGCCAGAAGTCGTAGATTTATCAAGTGTGTACGAGTCCGATATCATTGGACCTTTCCTACAGTAGACTGTTACTCTTGTCACCATGTTTGGTATTCGATTTATCAAGTGTTCACATGTCAGATATCATTGAGCCTTTGATAGTACAGTAACCTGCTTGTCACTATGTTTCATTCATTCATTTCATTCATATGTTCAATCTTAATCTTTGCTCTTTATTCATCTATTATCCAAAAACCAGCTGGTAAAAAGGATTCTAGTTTACATAGTTGTTACCTAATTCAAGGATGCCAAACACCCACACAGCAGATGTGTTTAATAGTTAGATTCAATTAAGAGCAGCATAAATCATAATGATTAATCTGTCAAAATTCCAAAACAATCATTTCCTTACTCAAGAACTTCAATTCCAATGATCACCCCAAGTTGCAATCGATTTAAAATTGTAGCTTCTATTGTGCTAACAAAAAAATTTTGACGTGTTTTTACCAAGTCAAGGACAGTAACTCAAAAATGGTTCACCAAAAAATCAAATTTGTAATTATCCAATATCTCATAATAATCAGACCAATTTTCATCCAAATTGTTTGAGGTCTTTCGTTTTTATTGTAGAAACTGAACAATTTTGACAAGGTTTAACTATGTCAAAGGCAATAACTCAAAACTGTTATATCATCACACCATATTTCATTAATATCAATCTAAAATTGAAGCTTCTATTGTGCCCCCGAAACAAATAATCGGTTTATCGAAAAAATCGTCAAATTTTAATGACCAAGACCTAATCATGATAAATGATCACACCAAATTTCATTAAAATCGGATCAAAACTGTAGTCTCCTTTGTGCTCACTAACAAATTTTGACTTGTCAAGGGCAATAACTCAAAAACCTTCAATCAAGAAAAAAATCAAATTCAACTAGTCCAAGATCTCAACAATATAAATGATCACACCAAGTTTCATTTAAATCAGATGAAAACTAAAGTCTTTATCCTGCTCACAATAAATGTTGACAAACCAATGGAAGAAATAATAAAACTTGACATCAAATACCATCAAATAAGAAAAATAACTTGTATTAAATATTTTCAGCTTTTTACTGTTTTTTAATATTGTTCATCCTAGGATAAATGATTTCACCAAGTTTCGTCTGAATCCTTCTTGAGTGTTTACAAGCAAAACAAGTGGTTGCCTAGCAAGATACGCCCACTTTCCTGATACATTTTCAGTATATCAAGGGCAGTCACCCATCTGTGTCATATCATACCAAAAATCTAATTTGTGCAAGATATTGTTGATTTAAACAAACACACATTATCTAATAAAATTCTGACATAAACTGTCACCTCTATCGCTAACAAATTTTGATGTGTTATACTAAGTCATGGGCAGTAACCCAAATTCTGTTTATCGAAAAATTCTCAAATTTAATCTTGACTAAGATCTCATCATTATAAATGATCATACCAAATTTCATTTAAATCGGATGAAAACTGTACTCTCTATTGTGTACACAAACAAATTACGGGTTTTTCATGAGTCAAGGGCAATAACTCAAAAACCGTTCATCGAAAAATAGCCAGATTCGAACTTGTCCAAGATCTTATCATTACAAATTTTCACACCAAATTTCATTTGGATGAAAACTATAGTCTCTTATTGTGTTCACAACCAAATTTTGATGCCTTTTTCATAAGTCAAGGGCAATAGCTCAAAAACAGTTTCTTCAAATTTGAACTTGTCCAAGATCTCATGAATGTAAATGATCACACCAAATTTCATTTAAATTGCATGAGAACTGTAGTATCTATTGTGTTCACGACCAAATTTTGATGAAACAGTCTTTGGTGACTAAAGTATGAATTTTCTCATATTAAAGAAATCTAATATTAATGTCAATAACCCAAATACATCAAATTATCGCATCAATATACATGATTACACCATGTTTCATTAAAATCAATTGAAAACTGTAATCTCTAATTTGTTCACAAACAAATTTTGATACGTTTTTCCTAAGGGTAATAACTAAAAAATCGTTCACCGAAAGAACGTCAAATTCGAACTTGACCAAGATCTCATCAATATAAATGATCACACAAAATTTCATTAAAATCAGTTGAAAACTGTAGTCTTTATTGTGTTCACAAACAAATTTTGACGCGTTTTCCCTAAGTCAAGGGCAATAACTCAAAAACCGTTCATCGTAATATCGTCAAATTCGAACTTGACCAAGATCTCATCAATATAAATGATCAAACCAATTTCATTAAAATCAGTTGAAAACTATAGCCTCTATTGTGTTCACAAGAAAAGTTGACGGACCGACGGACAGAGGCGACGGCAATATACGTCCACATTTCTATGTATAAAAACGTTCATAAAAAGATCGTCAAATTAGAACATGTCCAAGATCTCATGAATATAAATGATCACACCACATTTTATTCAAATCAGATAAAAACTGTTGTCTCTATTGCGTTCACAAGCCAATTGTGGACGGACGGACAGGGGCGACAACAATATATGACCAATAATGTGGGCGTATAAAAATTGAAAGTGTTTTCAAGAACAAGTGAATAAACCCATTTAATTTTTTTTTTCGAATTTGCGACATCCTTGGGTGATAGTAACAATTTCATTAAGTTACATTTTTAAAATCTGTTGAGAATTGGGCCTTATAAAGTGTTTTTACAAGCTAAAATTTTCAATTCTTCGATTCTATATTTTTCAAGTCCTTTGGCTTTCGATAGAGTTCATCATTTGGAGGTACCATTAAAATAAACAATTTAATCAAATTTCGTCAAAATCTGTGAAGAATTCTGCCTGGTAGAAAGTTTATGAGCAATTGTAGACGGACCAACATGGTTGACACCAATATATACGCTCCACATTTCATGTAGGTGCATAAAAATCCAGTTTGACTCTCTCAATAATACTTAATATGTAAAAAAAGAACAGAATTCAGATATCTGCCCTAGTTTGGGAAATCATGGATGTTTTTCTCAGTATGAGCAAAATAGTTTTTAGTTTCTTGGTATGTTTTTATGACTTAAACCAACAGTTCCACCCACATGCATGTTTGTTTTCTGTGTAATCAGCTAAGTGAAGAGATCAGAGCCATTGCAGCAGTAATAAAAGTAAATGTTGTATTCGATTCCAGATCGACCTTTACTGAGATCCATAATCACTTTGGCACTAGTTGGAAAGTTACTTGAATCTCTGTCATGTCCGGTTTATATCTTCAACTTCCAGGTATATCCAAATGCAGCCTTCGCTTGGTTCAATTTAAAAACTTTATACCAAATCTTGCCGACTTAGATGCATTGTATTGTTTGAATCCAAGTCTAACATAAAACATCATGTGTGATTCATCAATCGCAATATCCTGTGATGGTGTGTAAGCTGAATTTTGGCTTACATACTATAGGCTACCAATCGCAATCATTTTCTGTTGTGAATGTTGCACGTGCAAAAACATAATTTTCTGTCAAAGCACTTCACACATTAACTCATTGAAAATGTCCAGAGCAGAGCTGTCTTCATTCAAGTTATCTAGCTCACAATCATACAGGCTTATTGTCGACTTCCACCCATTTCCATTCAATCGGATTATTAGGCATGGCACTTTTAATTTCTTCATTAAAGCGGCAAACAACGAAAAAATTTGCACTACCAACTTTATTTATATTCTTGATCACTTTTGATTGGATGCATCGTCGCGTTACTTATTACTTATCTCATTCCAAATTGAATTTTCGTTTGTTACTGGACGCCATGATGTAAAGGGAGACAACCCTCTTACATCCGCAAATTCTTTTAGGCTCATAAACATGAATGTGAATGTTTTGGAATATGGTATGACTCAGAACTCTTGCGGAACACAGGGTGCTTTTGCGAGATATCTCGTCATCTGTGACATTGTAATGCCCAAAATATTTTGTCATCCACGTTCAAGTGGTTAAAAACAAAGATTTTAAGTACCGGTAGCCTAGTCTAGATTATAGCAGAGGACCATTTCAAATTAGCATCATATCGAAATTCATTTCTAAGCTCTTAAACATGGTGGCTGAAAAGCTAAAATATGCAAGTAATATCCACATTGACTATCTCTACATGTCAGAAAAACTGAATAGGGCCTCTGCCTTAGTTAAGGCATTAGACTTTGTCATGTGCATTATTCAAAAAATTACTAACACCGACAGTTACATAATAGGATCACTCAAATTTTGCTCATTTCCTACCATTCAATGTATGCTGCACTGAAAGCTGAAATTTGCAGGGCATAACATCCAGATTGACTCTACTCATTCTCACATTCATATTCATGATAAGCAAAATAACCATTAGGCTGTGGAAAAAATTACTTATGGTTCCGGTTTCCCGAACGACCCAGCGACTCAAAAAATTTTATGGAGTGTTTGATGATTTTTTTTCTCAATATTTTAATAGAGCCACATTATAATACAACAATGACTGCCAAAACATTATATAATTTGCACAAATATGTGAGTCAATTGAATACAAACTTTCTATTTCTAGGATTACATATTTCGTTCAATAATCAGTTCACGAGATTGTGCTATAAATAACTGGTACTTCACCATCAATCCAGACACAATCGTGCCCTTTTATGCCTAAGATCAACAAGACTACACCCGATCATTTGGTTGAGATTTATAAATAATATAATATGTCTCGATCAATCAAGACCTGCACCAGCTACATAAATGCTTCCAGAGTCCTATACGATCGAGACTAGTCTATATACGGACATTTCCATACAATGCAAATTGACGAATAAATGAAATTATGTACTAAAATAAAATTTATATGTGAAATGAAATAATAACTAGAAAACTAAAATGTTCAAATGAATTCCATATAACCACGATTTATATAACCGGTGAATCCGATTAAACTGGATGGTTTATATTTTTACATTGGTAGTCAACAAGAAGGCGACAAAATATATTATTCAGGCTTCTATAAATCACAACGAAACTCGACTTAACTATAGTCTGTCATGATGGAGCATGGTATGTGCTACCGAAAGTGACACTCCGCAGTCCGCACTCGATTTATGATCTTCGGAATGTTTTTTGCCTGCTGTAGAGACGTCAGACATGGACTGTCCTAGCAGTAGATAAGCCGGTGATAGATTACATACCAATATTTAAACACAGATTCATACTCTTCACATGTAAAACTGAACAGTCAAAACAGTCTGAAGTAAATACAAACCTTAAAATATAAATGATTTATCTCATCCAGATAGGATGTATTCCGTGTATTACACATTACATAATGATAGTCTTACCCATATAAAATATTTTTAAAAAATAATTTTTATTCCTACCTTCCCTATCCATATGACCTTATGAAAACCGAACCATGAATAATTTTTTCCACCGTTTTAGTGCTTTAGCCTACGTCATACGAAATTGACCCAATTCTACACTCGATAAATTTACTACGTTTTCATATGACAAGAACTGTCAACACCTATTCCTATTTTGAGCATTAACATGGATAGTTAATAAACATTCTGATATAGAATTAAGTAAAATAAAAGCGATAATTTACCAGAAGAGAGAAAAATAGAACAGCTAATTCCAAAAAAGGTGTATATTTATTTCTACCAGAAAAGACTGAATGAGCCTCCTAAGCAGAAGAGTAATTATCTCCCTTAACTAGTGTGCAGTCAAATAACTATGCTTCAGATCACAGTTAATTTAACTTTTAACCTGTAGGCCTATAAGAATATATTTAGCTGAAGCCGTCAGTGACTGTTGACCTTTGAAACCGATGGCGGCGATGGGTGTTAAGGTCCGAACTCTACCTATTCCTCGAATTGGCCAAAAAATATGTCTTGTCGAGACAAGAATTCCGCTGTGCATAAGTTTAGGAATGACAGGAATGAATATTGCCCATCCCCCTTTTATGATTTTTCAACTGACCATGATAGGACAAAATTTGACAGGAGTGTACTTTTCCTACTTACTGTAGTTTTGGCTCTGGAGAATACATTAGTTTTAAATGGAAAGAGGTCATTACTCGCTACTTATAATTAGGATATATCTGATTCATGATAACTGTCAACTTTCCTGTTCGTTTCAATTTCACTTTCAAATTTAAAAAAAAAAAATGCATGATATATTTCATTCAATTATTCTATATTTTTTAATGTTAAACGGCATAAAGCAAGTCATAAACAAAGTCAAGGTTTTAGTAACGTAACCAACTAGTAGCTACAGCGGCTGGGCCAGCCTCACAGAGTTCAAAAAATAGGTACAAATAGGGTTTACACTGGCTCAATCGACAATTACTGTCGAGGCTGAAGAAGGTAGGGGATGTCCTTCAATTATTCTATATTTTTTAATGTTAAACGGCATAAAGCAAGTCATAAACAAAGTCAAGGTTTTAGTAACGTAACCAACTAGTAGCTACAGCGGCTGGGCCAGCCTCACAGAGTTCAAAAAATAGGTACAAATAGGGTTTACACTGGCTCAATCGACAATTACTGTCGAGGCTGAAGAAGGTAGGGGATGTTCTATACAAGTCATCAAAACAATCAAATCAAACCTTCCAGATTTTGTGACAATCAGATACCATCAGCAGTCTCGATATGGATCCATGTGAAAATACACAAATTCAAAACTATTTTTTTACAAGAATAAGAACTCAGGTTCAAGAAGATCTTGTCAACATGCTGGTCCTTGGTCATCTAATGAGTGAAGTAAAGTCCTCAAAAAGTTTCAAAATTGAGATCTTCCTACAAATATGGTTTCAGGAATTTCCATCTGTACGAAATGTCAATTATAATTTGTTGCTGATGGAGCTACAGTTTGTCCTCGGAATGTTGAGTAAGCCTAAGATCAACTTATTCAAAGTGGGTGGAGAAACTGAGGCATGTCCATTCCAATACAAATTAGAACCCATTTAGTATCATTTGTTAGATGGAAATCAAATGACGCCAAGATTCCAAAACTCAAACTAAATGAGCAGCAGTCTGTCTACTAAAAAATTTCAAGATCAACTTACCAAAAATGGGCGGAGTAATCGCCCTACTTCTTCATCTGTTCTTCATCTGTCCTTCATCTGTCCTTCATCGCCGCTTCATCTGTTCTTCATCTGTGAATAGGAGGATCTGTCGGGTCATATAGGCCATGACCCCAGAACACTCCTATTGTGGCAGTGCTGTAGTGGGTAGGTAAATTATCAGACGATTTACCCTTTCTAATCTGAAATTGAATCAAACCAAAATGGTAACGAAGCAAAACGTACAACGATCCCCAAGACACCAGCAAATTTCATCAGCAATGTTTCAACAAAACGATGCCCTGTTTAAGTCTTGGGCCGGACTGATTTGACAATTATTGATTCAAGCCTAACCGTTTCAGAACTTAAAAAATCAGTAACTACTTCAGCTATAAAAATCAGCATCTGTTTGAGCATTAAATTATAAGCACCAACTGTACAACGAGTCCGAATTGATTAGCATACAGGCAGGTGAGGAATTTCGTATTCCCTTTCACACTGAATTCTCATCCTGATCACACTTTGCAACTTGGTATGGAACTTAAGTTCACATAGCTTAAAGATGGATTTTCTTATTTTCTAGTGTCAAATTAAGCAAACTATTTGATTAATTTGTGTTTCTAATGAATTATGGTGTATTCTTAATAATATCATTTTGTTCTTATTGCATATAATTATGAGTCTTAACCAATCACAATTGTCTATGTATATACAGTCTGGATAAACAAAAAACTACTTTTTGACCTTTCACTCATTGGAATTCGGCTGGTAATTGTCTTCTAATTTAGATAATTATGAAATAATAATGGACATGTGAGACAAACTGGTATTTTTTTTTTACGAGTCATTAACATACCTCTACTTTCTATTCATATAAGTATTAGCGTTTTCATTTTCATAGATCTTTAAATTTAATATGTGAACAAGTTGATTTTACAATTTCATTGGTTGACGAAAAAGATGTTTGCTAAGATCTAGAATCTTCAAGAGTATCTCCATTCAAGGAGCAATTTTGGACTGTATAAAAAAAACACAAAAGCAGCCAAATGTTTGGTTGATAAACATAAATTGGATATAGATTTTGGATGAAATGTTTTAAAACTGTATACAGAAAGATATTTAGTAAGAATGTAATATCACCCAATCAAAATTCAGGTGCCTAAAACAGTTAACTCTTCAAGGGATACCGAGTTGTCAAAATCAGTAGCAGATTCGAAAAGGGGAAATTTGGATAAGATAAGGTGCTGTTAAGAACGAACAACCATTTTAACAACATAGGTTCTCCAGGGATCTTTTTAACAAACTGATCCGTGTCCCAACCTCTTGAAATTTATGATTAGGTTGACTGGAATGGGAATGATGACAAGATCAAAATACTTAATTAGAAACCACGATCACCATTAACCTCAAAATAATGACACGATGTCAGCAGAAAGAGAGTTATCGTTGTCTTTTGTGTACGCCCATCAAGGTTGCATCCCCTATTATCAAAATATGTTTGTCAGTCACATTTTAACTTAAAATGAGTTAAAAGGAGTATTACGTTAATCTATTCTGCATCTGTTTGAGTAGCAGTGCAACGAAGTTAATAATACCAGGACCGTAGTATTAGCCTTCTTTTTTCGACGTCCAAATGTCGAGAGATCTTTCAGACGCAAAGCCCGTAGCACACTGAGCCACCAAGACTCCCTAGTAATATTTGGACCATTAGACTTTATGCATAATATGCCAGAACATGCAGAATTGGTAAAATATGATAATGTGAAACTTACACGAGGAGCTTCCATGCCACACCATAAGCACTTTATTCTTATATAATGAAGCTCTGTTTGTATACACCTAGAATAAATATTTTTACATTATTTATTTCATCACAAAATATAAACTGTATATTTGCGTGTATGATATACAGTTTTCCACCCTGAAATAGGTTGGACGACTTATGGGTGCACGTTATGCCCATCGGCAAAGCTTTGGACATTTTTCACTAGAGGTTATACAATCAAATATTGCCAGTCTGTTTTTACATATTTTATTGTATTTATTTCTATGGGTTAGTTCAATTATTCAAATCCATTCAACACCATGACCGTATTGTTGTGTGGATAGTGCTCGAGTTTTTGTTATCAGGTATTAGTCTGAAACTTGTTCATTTCTAACTAGTTTTGACAGAGCCGATTCAGAAAAATTTGGATGTTTCCACACTGCCATTTTCAAGATAATCAAGAACTGATCCCCATACTTGGTCTATGTTTTAGGAAGATAAACAATTAATCCTGATTCCCTGCTTTAGAATGAAAATTACTCCCCATAACAAACTTATTTTTTCTGATTATGCCTATTTTGATCAAATAAAGGCGAATGAGCTTCTCGTATCTTACCCGTGATCCTTCAAGTCAGTATTCCAATCACTGATATAAATCAATTCTCAACCAATTGAACAATTGTGCACAAAATGATTGTGTATAGATTTGAATAGCTATACCATTTGAGACACGACTTTTGTTGGTCATATTGGCTGGAGAAAGTGGGATTTACTTCTCATTGATTAAAATATTAGACTACTGAATCAAGGGTAATATATAAAGTAAACTCGAACACCTTTTTTAAATCAACTAGGTAGAAGTGAACAAGTTTCTGACGATTATGAAATGAAAATTACTCTTAACTTACCTCCATTTGTTTCAAGAGAGGCTGGGTGGACATGATATGGCAGCTTAGCCGAGTACAACCTAGGTGGCCCTAACAAGGTAGCCCACAGACTGCCACAACTAAACTACACGAGAGCCCAACCCGAAAACGCGAAAAATTTTGCTCCGTGTGAACTACCTCCAAAAACCTAGGTTGCACACCATATCTAACCATGTTGTCCGTAGCTGAAGACGAGCTACTATACTCGAAACACTGAAATGTAAGAAAACGCCATAGTAAGAAAAGAATAGAAATAAAAAACCTTGTGTTTTACGAGGTTATGATTTTTATTTTTTACTTTTCTGATCAAGCTCACTTAAAATCTATATGTAACACTTTTCAGAATCATAATTTAAACTTAAGACCAATGAACTAAACAAATTGTAAGATTTGGCTGTTGTCACTTCCAGGTATCTAGTAACATTCTCAGATCATATAGTTTGTACCGAATTGTCTCATTCATCAGACGAACTCAAATACACTTGATAAATCATTATGCCAATCATTATTTCCAAGCAAGCAATTATACACGTACGATTTATTTGCATGTAAAGAGCACAATTTTATACCCTTATAATCTATAACTACTAACCTAAACAGGAATGGTATCCAACCATGGTGTATTAACTCAATAGTAAAAACCGCTATTGAGCACCCTGACCTGAAACGAAATGACAAAACACAATAATATTGAATAATTACACACGGTCTTTGATAATATTCCCTGTTCGAAGCAATTTTATGTCATTGTGATGGCATTTTAACTTAAAAATTACACTGGTTAAAATTTCATGAAACGTTTCAACATATAAAGAAACTTGACTGTGAAACTATTTGGAGTCATTTTCCTTTTTTTAAATGTATAAAAGTAGTTTGATAATGGGGCCAAGCTCGTGCAGGCCTTAGTTCCGATTCCATAGAATTCCGCCTTTTTTCAATCATATTCCTTATTTTGATTCCTAGTTCAGAGCCTAGCTTTGCCTCAAAGTCCCGTATCTCAACACAAATTTTCAATGGATTTTTGCTTTGAGTCTTACATGTAACTTAGATATTTTCTTTCTTATGGAAAATAGGCTAGACATTTTTAAAAATGTATCTTAAATTTGAGAGAATTTCAAAGAGTCGACTTACCTGTTGCTATAAACGAAGCAAATTGACTGAGCGAGTAGTCACTAGTTACGAGTGAATTTCACTTACTATGACTGTTGTGAGTAAAATCTATTGTCTTGATTACTATTCTGTAAACCTTGTATATCGTCCGAATTCTGCTGTTTTTTTAGACTCTTATAAAGACAGTAGACGCATTTTTAAAAACAGAGTTAAAATCAAATTCAAATTAACGATATCTACAAGTTAAAACTATAAAAAAAATGCTCTAATAAACGAACTATGGGCGTTGTTCCTAGCAATATACCACAAAATCAAAAAATATTTCCAAATAACCCAATTTTGCATTAAATGTGCACTTGTCCACCTAATTAGACCCATAGAACCAAATTAAAATCAGATGCCAAAAATTTCAAAGAACCAAATCAAAATCAGTATGTATCAGTACAGTGGTGAACAAGAACACAAATAAAGTTTTTGTGTCATAGAATAGAAAATAAATTTTGAAAAATTTAATGCATATTGGCCATAGAAGCAATTATGGCCTGTAGACAACTTTTTCAAATACAAACTTTTGGCTCAAATTTTGATCTTTTCCTACTAATTAGACCCCAAGGACTTAAAAAAACACAAGAAATCAAATCAAAATCAGTAAGTTTTCAAACTAGCTATATGCAGTCTGCATATTTGTGCACAATAAAGTGCTCAAAGACAAATAAACTTTTGGCGTGAAAAGTTACGAAGCTACAATGCTGGAATTTTGCACCAATATTCACATGATCTATCTGGACATGTCAGAAAAAACAGAACTCAATTATCTTCCTGCAA